TTAATTTAAAAGATTTATATTTTATTATTTAAAATGGTTAAAAAAAAGTCTTTTATTTAGTTAAGTAGCCTACGTTTAGGGCTATATACTAATATATTTTTTATATATTTTATATAACTTATTTAAAGAGATATCTTACTTTAAAGTAAAATGCTAGCTATAGATAGGGGGGGGGGTTGTGCGGATAGCACAATAGCACGTGACCCTAAACGCACTACCGGTTGTGCGGGTATGAGTTCCCTTGAGTGCTGGAATGCTAACTAAGCTGGAGTTAGAGTAGGAATACTGCGTAAGCAGGTGGAATGCCTTGTTATATATATAAAGAAGAAGTTATCTATAGAGGTTTTCTCCCTTGCTAATTAAGAAAGCTATATAGTTATTAGTATAGGTAATGCTACAGGTAATATAACTCCTTTTTAGCTGATCTTTAAAAGCCTTTTAATACTAGAGTAGGCTTAGATTAAGGGCAATTCTTAGATATAATTTATATAGTTAGATATAGCCTTTTCTAATACTAAAATAATGCTATAGTAGGCAAAGCACTTTAATAGATATTTCTAAGAGAAGTTAGCTACTGTTTAATGCTATAGCCTTAATTTTAAGTAGTATTTTAGCTATAATAAGTACCTTAAATAACCTAGGAATGCCTTTAAAGAATATAACCTTCCTTTAAATACTAAAATTATCTAAAAGGAAGGCCCTGTATAGAGGCTACTTGTGATTAATAGCTTTACTAGGTATAGCTTCTTTGCCTTTTAAGAATATTATATAAAATTTAATATTTTTATTGCCTTCTTACTGCTGTATTTAATATATATTCTCTAACCTATAGATATAGGCATATTTTAATATTTAAAGAATATATATTAAAGAAAGCTTTATAAGGCATTAAGGAAGGGAAAGCTTACCTTTAGCTGCCGTGCCTTTATAAGGGCTTTTTAGGTATAAGGCTTATAGCTTAGCCTTTTTTTTAAATTCCCTCTTTTTATATACTAATCTTAATTTTTTAGGAGATTTTTAATAAAGGCTTTACTAAGGTATATATTATCTTAGGCTTTAAAAAGTCAGGGATTTTCCTACCTATAGACTGCCTAGTAGTTAAATATCTTATAAAGGAAAAGCTAAAGTTAAAGCAAGCTATTAATCTTGTCTTTTTATTACTTTTACTATTAGAAATAAGGTTCTTAACTGCCTTTATAACTATATAATACGTAAGAAATTAATATTATAATATCCTTAGTTCCCTATTATATTAAGGACTTAGGTATATTTAAAATATTATTAATAAAACTATATTACTTAAAAAATATATAAAAAAGTATATTAATAATTACTATACTTATATTAAGAAAAGATATTATAAGAAAAAGTAAGGAGCTTTAGCCTAGTTACATAGCTAAAGTTTCTTCTCGGTAACTCTAAGCTTGCTCTTTCTCTTCCCAAGTGGGATAAACAGAGTACGTTTATCCTACAGGCCCCTCCGGGCTATACCCTATACCCCGCCGACCCCTGGTTCTATTGGTGGAGGAGATCAGTATATGTAGTAAAAGATATTCTAAACTGATACTAAGTTACATAAGTCTTTTTATCATTTAGGATTGAGGTCTCGAGTCTTCTTTCCTCCCCTTGCATGGTTAGGGGACAATCAAAGCATTCAAGAAAAACATGCTTTCCATAATGGGATTCTTTTGCTCTCCTGATGTGACGTGATTTGACTACCGCTACTCCGGAAAAACTCCTTAGGGCTCCTTGATTAACTTTCCGACACTACACACTCTCTAAATGCCGTTCTGGAGCCACTCAAATGTATTAAGCAGCTCAAACCCGAATGTTAAAGACGGAGGAACCCCTATACCTAACGGTACCAGGTCTGTATTGCCAGTCGGTTCCGAGTTCAAATGCTCATCAAGCACACGCTGAATGATTGCTTCGCAGTCTCCACAGACAACTCTGTTTGGCGAACTGGGACCGACCCAGTTCAAGAAAGCAACTAGCAAGCTCAGTTGTTGTACGATGTTGGATCGTGAAAGAGCAGGATTCAAGGGATGAACTCCGAAGAAGGTTGGTCGAAGTAGTTCTTGACAGAGAATGCCTCCGCCTAGAGCTCCGTACGCTACCAGCTATCCACAAAATCAGAATGAACAACTACTGGGGAATGGCGATACTTACAAGCCATTCAAAGTTCCGCCGCATAGGCGCAAAACGATTCTTATGTATCCAGAGCTTGACCGTGACCATAACTAAATCAAAGCTAGTTGCAAGTAAAGAGCCATCATCGATTGCGCCATGCGTAAGAAGCAATCTCTCGACCACAAAGACATCTTTTCGATGAGCTAGATGAAGCAATATTCTCAGATAAAGAACATTTATGTCAAGATGCGGATCATCTAGGTCTTCAAACTTGAAAATCAAATGCGAAGGCATTTCGAGAAATGTTTGCATCACTCGGGCTTTGATATTTCTTTATCCTATTAGTGTATGTCAAACATTACCGCACCGAATAACTTACTCCAGATATTCAAGCGTGACATGGGTGTTGTTTCCAAGTGCCACTTCTATTACCTCATCAAAGACATACGCCATCAAGTAGCGAGCCCGTATGTAACTGTTGCTGGAAATCTCACCCTTCACATTCCAGCCCCTTTCGTCCAGAGCTTTGAACTCCTCTATCAGCGTGTCCTCAGATACCATACAACTATCTGGGAGGTCCAGGGGCGGCACTGATGAGCAATAGCGACGGCTTAGAAGTGGCGGCCTACCAGTGAAGGAGACCTCGGATTTGTCATTTGCAAAGATGTAGCTATAGAGTAGACGTTTATGTTCGACACAAAACGAAGGCTTTTGGGGCTGTTTTTCTGGCCTCGATGCCTCTCCCGAAGCATGAAGACCTGTGAAAAGAAGGATAGAGACACATAGGCTGTGCGAGTTCCAGTATACAGGGCCTAAAGAATTAGTGTATGATGCCAGACTTGATAGTGAACTTACTAGCATCGCCATAAACCATTGTTCCAAGAGCTGCATGCCGTCGACAGAGATCAAGGAGCATATTGTTGCCAGCTGTGAAACGGCGCGCTATCTCAATGCAGTAGTGTATGTGATCGTGTGAGAGAACAGATGATCGCTTGCCTCCAACCCATTGAAGCTGACGATATTTCAGGGTGGATATTGCATCTGAAAGACCTTCGAGATGAGCCCACAGAAGCCCTATAGATTCCCATCGGATGTTTGGCCCACAGAACTGGGCTATCCAGTCATCAAAACCATCAAAGGTATCGTTAACAGGCTTTGAGGTGTTGCGGCACAGCACATCAGCAACCTGCTCATCGAAGCATTCACTGCCCTCAAAGCTTTGAAAAAGTTGCCGCAAAGACTTAATGATTCTTGATACAGCCGTGTGAGACCAAGTTGTGGTGTTTTCAGGACCAGGTTCGTCGTGGAATATCATATGTGCTTCTGGTCGTCCCGGAAGATATCGTAGTACAACAAGGCACATTTGCTGTGTTGGCAAAGGCAGGCTGCGTAAACAAACATCATCGCTTCCAGGGTTTGATACCTCTGGGCTGGGAATTCCAGAGCCCGTGTCAGAAAGAGATAGACTCTCTCGAGCTCCTTGGAAGACCGAGTTGTAGCTTGTAAAACCAAGGTAGCCTGGACTGAATGCGTAGTCTCGTGCCATCGGCTTGGCAGGTTGTGGTGAGAGACTTGGACTAGACTGAATCGAAGCTTTGACTCGCGACGCTAGAGATGATGCTGTATAGACACAATTGTCTCCTCTTCTCTGGCATCGCATACAAATGGGTCGTCTGTGGTCGCAGGCGACTTTGCGTGCACGACATGGATCGCAAGCTTCTGGTCGTCCATTTGGTCGCGACGACATTTAGTTCTGCATACCGCGGTGGCAGATTGGAATAAGGGATGAAATGAAGAGGCAGAAGCCATGTAATACTTTGAAAATACGACCCGAAGATACCTCTTCAGCCAAGATGTTGATATAGAAGCGGTTGTCGAGTCACAATTGAGAATTATTGTTCAGCTCTAACCCAAGAACGCCAGGGTCGGGTCAGCATGAGTGCCGATTTCGGCTTGTAACCTACCATGGAGCTGGGTTTAATAAACATTCATATCAGATACTTTACTCACTACATCTCCGCTGGATCCATTACAGTACCTATTCCTCGTATTTAACTCTGTTTGGTTAAGTGAACGTGGATAACCGACATATTTCAAAACAGTCATGGAGGCTCTGTCATCATTGTCTTTAGTCACGATGCTGGTAGTCTGAAGAATATAAGTAAAGTTATTTCTTTCCTAGTCAAGCCTCTGGGAGCCAAAAAGTATCAGACCTTAGTATAGAGTATTAAAATAGACTTAGCAAAGGGTATCCTAAACCTACCTAGGTGGTAAAGACATCCTAAACTTTATACTAATTTACCTGGGTCTTTTTGTCATTTAGGATCAAGGTCATAAGTTTTTCTCTCCCCTACCTACCTAGGTACCTAGTAGGTAAGGTAGTAAGTAGTACTTACTAGTGAAGCTATCATAAACCCGCTATAAGCCTTGCATACTTTTAGCGTCGCACATGCTAAAAAGTGGCGGGGCGTTTTTTTAGTCCAAATTTTTTGTCGCATTGAATGTTTTCTCGCTTCAACCACTTCAAGACATTTGCGACAATGGGCAAAAAGAGCTTTAGGGTGCGCATACACTCGATGCAACACCCCAATTGCGACCTATACTGACATTACCATAGGGAAAGAACAGAAGAGGAGGCGGTGGCGGCCGAGGTGGTGGTAACCAGGATAGAGGTGGCTGGAGAGATTATCCTGCCATTCCCAAGGAGAACGAGAAGCTCCAGCGCTTCTACGACACCCTCCTCCAGCTGCCTGAAGAGGAGAAGAATGCCTACTGGGAGGCTCTCAGACGTGAGCTTCCTAACAGCTTTAGGTTCTGCGGCTCTAAAGGGTACGCTCTGCCGCAATCGCTCGCATAACGCGAAATCTGTCTGCTAACCTCAACGTGCTTTCAGTCACGCCCTTCTTGTCAAGAGCCTTCTCCAAACCAGATACATCCCCGAGATCGTCAAGATCGAGCATCAAGATGGCCGACCTGTCGAGCCTCCCCAGCCTGTGCCCTGGTACCCCGACGAGCTTGCTTGGTGGATGACTACCCCCAAGAACGTCGTTCGCAAGTTCCCTCCCTTCGCCGCATTTCAGAAATTCCTGGTCTCCGAGACAAGTGTCGGAAACATCAGCCGACAGGAAGTCGTCAGCATGATCCCACCTATGCTGATGGATCTCCGCCCTGGCATGACCGTCCTTGACATGTGTGCTGCTCCTGGAAGCAAGGCTGCGCAACTGCTCGAGATGATTCACCAGGGCGAGGAGGCCCGCGTGCGCAAGGTTCTCCGATCTTATGCTCAGGAAGATGGCCTGGATCTTGGTGCCGAGACTACAGATGAAATTGAGGCCGACCTCGAAGCCGATCCCAGCGACGCTGGACGGGCTACTGGAATGCTTGTCGCCAACGACTCCGATTACAAGCGCGGACACATGCTTGTCCATCAGCTCAAGCGACTTTCTTCCCCTAACCTTCTCGTCACGAACCACGATGCTACCCAATTCCCTTCGATCAGGCTCCCTGCTAAGGACGGCAAGAAGCCAACCTACCTCAAGTTCGATCGCATTCTGGCTGATGTCCCTTGCTCCGGTGACGGGACTCTGCGAAAGAATGCCAACATCTGGAAGGATTGGCAACCAGGAAGCGCTCTTGGCCTGCACCTCACCCAGATTCGAATTCTGGTCCGCGCTCTCCAGCTTCTCAAGGTTGGAGGCCGTGTCGTGTTCTCTACCTGCAGTATGAACCCTGTTGAGAACGAGTCTGTGGTCGTCTCGGCCATTGAGCGGTGTGGCGGTCCTGCGAATGTTGAGATTGTCGACTGCAGCAATGAGCTGCCTAACTTGAAGCGATACCCCGGAATGAAGGACTGGAAGATCATGGATAAGAGTGCCCGTATCTGGAGCTCCTGGAAGGAGGTTGAGGATTTTGCTAAGGAGAGCGCTGATGGTGTTATCCCTGGACGAGTTGTTGAGACTATGTTTCCTAGACTTGAGGGTGCTGAGTGCGCTGACTTGCCTCTTGAGCGGTGCATGAGAGTCTATCCTCACATGCAAGACACTGGTGGTTTCTTCATCACTGTCTTGGAGAAGAAGTCCGAGTTCAAGGCTAAGAACGAGAACGAGTCGAAGGAGACCAAGCCCGCCAAGACTGAAGAATCCGCTGAGGCCACTCCTGCTGAGAAGGTTGCTGAAGAGGCACCTGCCAAGGAGGAGACCGAGGTCAAGACTGAATCTGAGTTGGCTCCCGTTGAAGCTGAAGCTACCCCTGCCAAGGCTGAAGACAAGCAGGAGGATGTTGCTATGGCCGATGCGTCTACTAACGGTAACAAGCGACCTCTCGAGACTGAGGATGCTCAAGATCAGCCCGCTAAAAAGGCCAAGACTGAGTCTACTGAGCCCTCAGCTGCTGCTACTCCTGCTGCCCAAGTGGCACAGGAGGGCAGTAAGCCTCGCCGAAATGGCCCTGTCGAGGAGGCTTTCAAGTACTTGGACGTTTCGCACCCCACCGTCCAGGGCATTAAGGAGTTCTATCATATCTCTAAGCGCTTCCCCGACGATCGGTACATGGTCCGGAACGAGATGGGTGAGCCTGCCAAGGCTATCTATTACACCAGCGCACTCCTCCGCGATATCCTTATCGAGAACGAAGGCCGTGGTATCAAGTTCATCCATGGTGGTGTCCGCATGTACATGAAGCAGGACGCTCCCTCCGCTGATGTTTGCAGATGGCGTATCCAGGCCGAGGGTATGCCCATCCTCCAGGGTTACGTCGGCGAGCCCCGTGTTGTGCACCTCCACAACAAGGAGACCTTCCGCAAGCTTCTCATCGAGATGTTCCCTCGCATCAACGATGGTAAGTACGAGCGCTTCGACGAGATTGGCGAGCGTGTCCGAGATATCGGCATGGGTTGCGCTGTTCTCCGCGTTGAGCCTGACGGTACAGACCCCGACTTTAGAGAGCGTATGGCTCTCCCTCTTTGGAAGAGCATACACTCTCTCAACCTTATGCTTCCCAAGGAGGATCGATCTGCTATGCTACTGCGCATCTTTAACGATACATCCCCGCTCATCAACATTGCTGCGCAGAAGAACCAGAAGGCCATTCAAGACGCCAAGGAGGCCGAGGCTGGTGATGATACCAAAGAGGAAGTGGATGTTGCGGATCTTCCCTCGCCCGAAGAGCCAGCAACGGGGCCAGTAGAGGCTGAGGAGAAGATGGAAACGGCTTAAAAATGGGTCAATGTACAATTGCTTTATGTTATTTTGGTGTTGTTACAGTTTGAATCATGACCAGGGATGAAATGTTGATACAAATTGGTATAATACAAGGTGTTTCCAAACTTCGTCTACTCGTCTAGTAATCCCACAGTCCAATGCACAATTCTATCTACGCCCTGACCATTTATTGCGCTGATTGGGATAACAGCACAGTCTTTTGTCCAAGCATCCGCTACGCCGCTTGGATGCGGCTTTTCGCCTTTTGTGACGCTGTCAAGGTATTGTTTTAATTCCTTGAAGTTTTCTTGTGTCTCTGGCAAGTCAGCCTTGGTTGCAACGACAAACCATGGCTTTCCAGCAATCTGTAGTCCCGGCTTTGAACTGAAATCTTCTTCATCGTTCGTCATACCTGGGGACACATTCATGGGACCGTCCATATCCGACGTGACATCCCAGTCAATGTGTGACTCGATTGCGCGGTCGGCCTCTTCTTCGTCACGCATTTGTGCGTATAATCCAACCTCACGCCAGAGTGACTCCAAAGCCTTGACTGCATTACCAGCAGACAGATCAATGACGAAAGCGAGTACACCAGCGCGCTCGACATGGCGTAGGAAAGCAATACCTAAGCCACGGTCAAGATGCGCACCTTCAATCAAACCAGGAATATCAGCAATCGTGAAACGAGTGCGTGGTTCGGTGTCGACTGCTTCAGGCAGACCCAGTTGAGCAGGATAGCGGCGATAACTCTTGATTACTGGCCGACCAGAATACTTATCAAGAACAACCGTGCCGATATTGGGCTGCAGCGTTGTAAAGGCCCAGTTGCCCACTCTAGTACGGCTGTTTGTGATGGCACGAAGGAGGGTACTTTTCCCAGCATTAGGAAGGCCGACGAGGCCGACGTCAGCAAGGAGCTTAAGCTCAAGCTCAATCTTCATGGTAACAGCCTCTTCGCCTTTAGTAGCAAACATGGGCCGAGGGTGCGCCCTGGATGTGAAGTGGGGGTTTCCCAAACCACCAATACCTCCAGTTGCAAGAAGGATTGGCTTTGGCGTAGGACGAGATAAGTCGAGATGGATGGTGGGAGGCGGTTGTTTAAGAAGTCGAGTTCGTTTAGGCAATCGAGGAAAGACGGTTTGTTTGATGTCAGTCTTAGACAGTCCGGGATATAAAAGCCACTTGCGACGCTCGGGATCTTGATCGCCCTCCTCATTCTCCTCTTCGACCTCTTCTTCCTCCTCCTCTTCTTCGTAACCCTCCTCGTTCTCTTCTTGCCTCTGCTTTCGCTCCAGAGCAGCCATGCGTTCCTCCTTTCTCTTTTGTTTCTGCTGAGCGCGCCATAAGCGCATATCCATCTCTTCGTCGAGCACCGGATCCTCACGCTCTATTTCACGGACTACTGTTCCCACAGGCACAGTTATAATGATATCCTCTCCTCGTGTTCCGCTCTTTGCACTTCCCTGTCCATGCTTGCCTCGGCCGGCTCGAATAAATCGCTTGCGCGCCAACTTGTGCAGTGAGGTTTCGCCATGCGCCGCTTGAATGTAGACATTGCCGCCGTGACCACCGTCGCCACCGTTGGGAGGGCCCTCAGCAAGGTATGCTTCTCGCAAAAAAGAAATACAGCCGTTTCCACCTCTGCCAGCATCTAGAGTTAAGAAAGCTTTATCCGAGAAACTGGGAGACGCATAGTCGTCCGGAGCAGGGTTTAGTCGGGACTCTGGAAGGTCGTTAATGGTGGAGTTGAAGCGACGTCGGAGAGCTGCTGTGCTGGCGAGAGTGTGTCTTGACAGGAATATCGAAGGGTAGAGGAAGGGTAGGAGTGTCGAAGACAAAGTCGGGCACCGCGGGGCCATAATGAAAGAATTGTGCGGCAATTCTGGTGCAGAATTGAAGCTGTTATGTTGAACATCTTTTGATCATGTCTTGCCTTGAGCTTGGTCGAAATTTTGGAGTTGCTGATTAGATAAGGTCCTTGTGTGAGTCTCTGATTCAAGTATGACCGAGCAGATGATGGATGAAATAATATAAGCAATTTCTTGAATTGATTACCTTCAGTAGGCAAGGCTATGGTTTCTGTGCAATTAAGCTAGGGTATAATTCCAGGCATTGATTTCTCTCAGGTACTTTGATCTCAATCGGGCAGCGCTGGATCTCATCATGAAGTGGTTTTCGTGTAAGTCCTAAAAAGGAAAGAGGACTTCCGTGCAGAGCAACCTACTACCAACCTACAAGGCAACCGCCGTCTTGGATCCATGCCTCAGGTCTCAGCTAGGACTAACGAAGGAAGGCAGTGCTAAGAGCTACAAGGCCTCGTTCTCTCCTCATCTCATTTCTCCTTTCTAATACTCACGTCGTGATACCTTCAATCTCGTGCCATGTCAACATCTCGTCCTTCCGACATGTCGCAGCAAGTTGCCACTAGGCCATCTCCGTATCACACTCACGGACCTCACTTCCAGCGCTCTATGAAGGAAACGGCCACCCACGCGCTGTACAAGTGCGGGTATGCGATTTACAACAGACTAGGTACTTAGTTTCTGATATTTGTGCTCAAGATCACCGATAACAAAGCCAACGTTTTGAACTCTACAACTCTCCGTCGACGATGCTCCCCTGTCTGTTCGTCTCGCCTCGCCCCGACGGGATCCTGCAGCTCACCTAGAATGGCTCGTTGCTGGCGTCCATTGCTATTTGACCAGCGTTGGGCTAGCCCCAGCTTCCCGAGCTTAACAACAAACGCCAGCTGACGCCAAAATGCGGTGAATCGGTGTTGCAGCAATGGATAAAGCCAGCAGAGCCTCTTGTGTGTCTATGATCAGCCTTTCAGTGTTCCCTCGCCGTCTTCTTTACTGCTAGGGTTCTTAACGACTGGCCTTGCCTTTATTCGTCGACTCTTGATAGATGCTCACTGGCTTACCACCGTCAACCCAACCGATGACCCCATTTGTCACACCCGGCTGTCTCTTGCATTCTTTGAACTTCGCCAGTCGACCCAGCTCCAGTCTCTTCTGCAGTACAATATCTCACGTCAAGCCTCGCATATTTTTCTCGGTCAACTCTCGTCTTGACTCTTCGTTGACGTCCCACTCACCCCTCCATCTGGTGTACTACCTACTGCTCGTCAACACCACCCTTCCTAGCAGAAAGCACATGAGCCGCACAATCACCCAACGACAGTTCGCCGCCATCGACCCCTCCCTTGTACCAGTTCGAAGCCATTGGGCCAGCCTGCATACGATCCGTGGTCCCGCATTCGAGCCACGACTGTAGACGTGGTCGGCCTGCTCTCATTCGATCTCTCCACATAGCTTCCTTCGCTTCCCCACGCGACTTCTTCCATCTCGCTCTTCAGTTTCTCCCTCCATTTCCAGCTTGACCCCCGAGAGCTGCTGGTGCTTGCAGTGCAGCATACATACGGCTCCAGCGAAACAGCAGCTCGCCTTCCCAAGCTGGTTCTCGACGGGCAAACCAGACCATTTTGCAACCCAGTGTCGTTATCTCCTTACCGCCACGCCGTCAATCGACTTTAACACGGCTCGTGCCTTTTAACTAGGTCCGTTTTAACTTCTCTCTGTTATCCTTATCCCTACCTCCTACCTCCCTCCCAATTTCTTGTCTTCTCATTGTTCAATCTCACTATTGCTGGTCTTCTCTCCCGCACATACAACCCTATGAAAGACATCTGCGGGGTTGGAGGGGGATCTCACGTTGTTGTTATGAGTTGACCGTAGATGAATATTGTTTTTCTGGCCATCTCTTGCATTACGCTCACCCACTCTAATTCGGCGTGAACCAATTCGCCTGATATCACAGCTAAGATGTTTCCCAGAAGTTATCCCTACAGTGGCAAGTCTATTTTCAGGATGGATCCTGATTGCGCGATATGCCACGCTCCGGCCAACATGGCATGCGAGTGTGAGGCTAAGGGCCTTGACGTTGCTGTCAAACAAGCCGAGGATCGCATGATGCGGTCGATATACAATGAAATACGGTACATAACTTTGTCCTCCCATCACGCTGCGAAGCAGTCCTGACTGTCAATTCATAGTTCTTGGGTCCGAGGACATGCACAAGACTACATACTTGAATACTTCCGCCTCCTAACTGATCAACGAAAAACTGCCCATGCTGCGCATATGGACCGAATTACTGCCCACGCCTATCACTACTACCACGCACCGCCTCATCCGACACAAGTTGCTGAAGCGCAAGCGTCCCTCAAACGCGGCATTGACGAAGACTGGCAAGCGAGCGTGCAACGGTATCCTGAAGTTTTGGAATATTTCTTTGGACTTGTTGAACTCACACTACCGGCGGAGGATGAACCGGCTGTAAAGGATCCGCCATTGGGCTCATTATCAAACTCGCGAAAAGTGAATCGTCGAAGCGGTACTGCCCCTCCCGGTGCCTCTGCCGTAGTAGCACCTCCAGGATATCGTGGCGATCCAGGCCAGATGCATCCACAAGAGCCTCCCATGCCCCGATCCGATCGCCGAACTCCCGGCCCTCAAATGAGGCGACCTAACTTTGGGGCTATCCCGCCACCAATGCCGGGTGCCTATAATTTCCCTCCTCCATACTAAGCGACTATAAATGGCCAATACGTTAATTGTGAGCATCTATCCAGGTGCTGAGTATGCTACAAAAACCCATATTACGATTTCTACGAACATCACGACCATTGCATATCTAGGGTGTGGAGTATTACCGGCCTAGCAGACCACGGTGGCACCATTACTGGGGTTTTTGAAGTTTGGGCTGACGATGCCATTTGTGTTTGAGTAGAAGCTTTCCCGTCTGGTATTTTTTCATTGGAGTAACTGGGGTTAACAAAGTTTGGCGATTTTGTCTGTATCTGAAATTACAAATACCACGCCACTAAAGGCAAAATTATGAACGACACCACAACTTCCTTTGCCTTTTTGACATGCATCACGGCGAACAAGGCCATGTCTTGGTTGGACGTGTGGGAGACGGTGCGAAAGAGGGACACGCATCCGAGGCAG